CTGCACGAGTGCACGTGGGCCACTGCGCACGCGGGTGCAACAGAGGGAGGTTGTTGCCAGCCCTTCCCACTGCGCTGGGAGATGCCAGTGCCTCTGCCCATGGCCAAGCTCAGGGGCTCTGCCCGGCAGCCGGTTGCAGCCATCACTCGCTGCACGCTCAGTAGATCACCCCGTGCATGCTCCACGGTGCATCCCTCATTGCATGCTTGGCGGTGGATCCCTTGGCCCATGCTCATGGTGCATCCCTTGGTGCACACTTGGCAGCGATGCAGCACCTGCACCTGGATCCCAGCTCCGCACGCTCGTGTCCTGCATCCTGCATCCTGTGTCCTGCATCCCACGTCCCACGTCCCATGTCCCACGTCCCACGTCCCGCGCCGCTGGGCCCTTCCGCCCCCCGGCCGGGCCGTAATCAGTCCCAGCAGGCCGGGTGGAGATGAAAGGCGCGCGCGGCGGCCCATCCATCACGCTGTTTTCTTAGCCCGCTCCGCGGCCCCGCGCCAGGGCCCTCAGTACCTGCCTGCCCGCGAGGCCCCATTTACGAGCCCCCCGCCCGCCACGGCCCCCCAGCGCCGCTAATGGGCTTTGTAATGGCAAATTACAGAGTGTTACGAGGGGAAGATTAATCGCGGGGCCGGCCGGGCTCATGCCTGCAGGAAACCCGATCGCGGGGCCGGCAGCAGGAATGCGGCGCTCCCGGCGCGCTGACCCCGGCGCGGGGCGCCCCGGCAGCCCCCGGCCCCGAACCCACACATGTGTCCCCACAGGGGGAATACGGTCCCCGGGCTCGTCACCCCCAGCAGACACTGGCCCTGTGGCAGCTGCCGTGGGACGTGTCCCTGGGTGCCTGTGCTGGGAGGTGACTGCCACCACAGTGTCACCTCCCAGGTAGGTGACAGCCCCAGCCCAAACTGATGGCGGGGTTGTCCCCAGGACTGCAGCTACATCCCTGCGTAGTCCCGTCCCTGCATGGCCCTGTCCCCGCCGTGTCCTGTCCCCATCTCCCATGCCCTTGCTGCAGGCAAAGCTCTGTCCCCAGAGCACCAGTGGCAGACAGACCCCATCCCTACATTTGCACAGCGAGGGAGATCATGATGACACCCTGGGGCTTGGGACATGGGCCCCAAAGACCCCCAGGTCTTATGGCCACTGGGCCCCTGATCAGCCGCCCCGTCTGCAGCAGCGCATGGAGCCAACGAGGCCGAATGGGTTCACGGAGCTGCGCGCTGCCCACTGCAGCACCGTGCTCTGCTGCACCATACTGCACCGTGCCATGCAACGCTGTGCTGTACTGTGCTGTCCTGCACTGTGCCGCACCATGCTGCACTGTGCCATGCTGCACCACGCTGCACCGTGCCAGGGTCTGCCATGATGCACTGTGCCGTGCTGTACCATGCTGTGCTGCATCAAGCTGTGCTGTGCCGTGCTGCGCTGTGCCGTACTGCACCACGCTGTGCTGCATTGAGCTGTGCTGTGCCGTGCTGTGCTGCACCACGCCATACTGCATCAAGCTGTGCTGTGCCATGCTGCGCTGTGCCGTGCTGCACCATGCTGCACCGTGCCATGCTGTACTGAGCTGTGTTGTGCCACGCTATGCTGTGCTGCATCAAGCTGTGCTGTGCCGTGCTGTGCTGCACCACGCCATGTTGCACTGAGCTGCACCGCACAGCGCGGCGCTGCAGACACGTCCAGCGGGGCCCAGCTGTTGGGTCTAGAGTTACAGCCGTGGGGAGCAGACCGGGCCGGGGCGACACACGGGCTGCGGGGCCGGGCAGGTCCCCGCGCCAGCTCCCTGGCTCTGCCATCACTCCCACAGTGTGGCTCTCCCACCGGCTCCCTGCGCTGGAGGGGGGGTCACCCCTGTCCTGTGGCAGGGAGGATGCAGGACAGACCGGGGCTAAGAATAGAGCGGCATGGGAGTGGGAGCGGGAGGAAGGATGGGGCTTCCTCTGCGACGGCTCTTCTTCCTCCGGCCCAGCCCCTGCCACCAGGCACGGTGCGGCAGGGCTGTGCCGGCCTCGCCCGGACGCCTGGGCCCCCGGGGCCGGGCGGGGCGAGGGGCAGCGCCAGCGCGGGGCGGCTGCAGTGATCCCAGCCATGCGGTGCCCTCCCACGCGGCAGTGGAGGGATGGGCCCGGGGCGCAGGACGGGCATGGTCGGAGCCGCAGAGCCGCCGTCCCGCCAGGTCCCGGCCAGCCGCGGCATTCCCAGGAGCGCAGCCCCTGCTCCGGCGGATCCCGCCAGTGGGAGGCTGCGGCCCAGGCCGCACGGGCGCGCGGTGCTGCCGGGCCGGAGCCGCCGGCCCCGCCGGGACCAGGGCTTCCTGCGAGGAAGGTGGGACAAGGAGAGGAAGACAATAAACCCCAGGAAATGCTCTGAATAGCCAAGGTGGCTGCGCCGAGCCCTGCGCCGCGCTGCGCCAGGACGGAAGCCGCGGGGCAGCCGGGGCAGCGCCCGGGGCCGGGAGCCGCCGCAGCCCCGGGAGCCGTGGGAGCGTTGTATCCAGCAGCGCGGCCGCCCGCCCGGGCACCCTCCTGCGCCCCCATGGTCCTGGGCATCATCCCGAACCCTGGCACTGTCCTGTACCTCTGTGCTCTGCACCCTGTGCCCAGGCACTGTCCTGCAGCCCGCGCTATCCCCATGCCCCCCGTGCCATCCTGCCCTCCAGCACCACCCCTGCGTCCCGGCACCAGCCGCTGCCCGGCACCATCCTTGAACGCAGCCCTGTTCTGCACACTGGGCACCGTCCTGCACCGGCACCGGGGGACAGGGCTGAGCCCGGGCACCGTTGTCTTTGCAGCGACTGTTCCCAGCCCGGCAGCAACGAGACCTCGAGGCCGGAGCGGATCCTGCCGCCTAAGCCGCATCAGCCGCCTAAGCCGGGTGCAGGAGGGGGTGCAGCACAGGGCAGGGAGGGCGCCAGCTCTCCCAGCTCCAGTGCTGGCCATGGGCACAGGCAGAGGCGGCACCTCCCATGGCCAGCGCTGGCCATCGGCTCCGAGGGACTCGCCACCCGCCGCAGCCCCGCTGGCCAGCGCTGCTCGCACGGACAGCGGGCTGGGTGCACAGGGACGGATCGTGGATTCCTGCCGGCTGGGAAAGACCTATGGGATCATGGAGTCCAAGCGAGCCCCACGCCGAGTGATTTCCAGGCAGCGGAGCACGTGGCGCAGACACAGGAAGGGCGCAGGAAGCCTCCCAACTCCAAAGGCCGTGCAGGGCCATGGCCGCGGCAATAGCGGCACCACGGACCATGTGTCCCCGCGGGACAGGAGCTCCCAGCCACTGCGCAGCCTCGTGTGCTCCCCTGTGGGTGCTCCCCACATGCCCACACGTACTGCATGTACGCCTGCATGCATCCTGCATGAACCCTGCATGCATCCTGCTCATACACCCTGCATGCACCCTGCATGCACCCTGCATGTGCCTGGGCTGCAGGGATGGGCTATCAGCGGTGGCTCCCGATCCCAGTGCCCCTTCCCTTTCCCGCGGGATGCACGGGCTGGGAAAGGGGCTCCGGCAGCAGCTCCGCTTTCCCAGGCTGCTCCCACTGTGTCCCTGTATCCGGCAGGAAGGTGCCTGTGTCCCGAGTTGCCACTGCCAAGACAATGTGGGCATCGCGGTGCCAGCCTCCGGTGCCACATCCTGGCAGAAGGAGACAGGAAACCCCAGGCGATGCCTTCCCATCGGCGCCATCCCACGGGGCTGTGGCAGCTGGAACACAGCAGTGCTGGGGCAGGACGGGCACAAGGACGGGCAGAAGCGGTGCCCAGAGCAATGCCAGGATGCCGGGAGCTGTGCATGGAGTTATGCTGGGAGCAAGGAGCGGTGCTGGTGTGGATGTGCAGGGCTGTCTGGGAGCAGCGCATGGAGTGACGCTGGGATGCACAGGACTGCCAGGAGTGGCACGTAGGGGCTTGTGGTTGAACTTGATGGTCTTGGAGGTCTTTTCCAACCATAATGATTCTGTGGAGCAATGCTGGGCAGTTGTGCAAGGCCAAAACAGTGCAAGGAGCAGTGTTGGGCGGGTGTGCAAGGTCAGAGTGGTGCATGGAGTGGTGCTGAGCAGGTGTGCAAAGCTGTAGCAATGCACGGAGCGGTGGTGGGCGGGTGTGCAAGGTTGTAGCAGTGCATGGAGTGGTGCTGGGTGGGTGTGCAAGGCTGGAGCAGTGCACAGAGCACTGATGGGCAGGTGTGCAAGGCTAGAGTGGTGCATGGAGCAGTGCTGCATGGGTGAGCAAGGTTGTAGCAGTGCACAGAGCACTGCTGGGCAGGTGTGCAAGACCAGAGCGGCACACAAAGCGGTGCTGGGCGGTGTGCGGTGCTGGGCAGTGTGTGGTGCCGGACGGGCCCGGCGCAGGCAGCAGTGCTGGGGCGGGCGCACACGGCCGGCTGGAGCGGGCGCCGTGCGGCACCGCAGGCCGTGCGGGCACAGCATGTAGGCCTGTCAGAACCGCACGGAGTCATTTAAAGACGATCAGGCGCTGACAGGAATTAAATTGTGTTTTGATTTTCTCATTAGCGTAATCTGCAGCGCGCCTCGTTACGGGGTAATTTCCCCGCGCCGATGTGACAGCTCAATCCTGCCACGCCAGCCATATGCCAGCCCGGCCGTGCCGGCGGTGCCGGGGGCGCAGGGGCGGCGGGAGGCACCGGCCGCAGTCCTGGAGCGGGCTGCGGCGGCCGGCGGGGCCGCGGGACCCGGTACAGCGGGGGCTGGGCCGGCAGCCCCCGGCCTGCGTGTCCCGGGGGTGCCCATCCATGCGGCGCCCATCCATCGCGGCGCCCGCGGAGCGGCGCTGGCAGGTCCCGCTGAGCCGCGGCTGCCGAGCGAGCCCGGCCTGGCAGCCGTCCCGACACCGCCAGAGCTGCTCGGTGACCGGCTGGAGCCGGGAGGCCACGGTGCCAAGGGCAGCCCTGCCCGGTCCTGCACTCATCACTGCCCTGGCAATGGGACCACTGCCCCACAGAGGGTCTGCAGTGACCACAGACCCACAGCATCATCCCCACACGCAGGGGTCCTGCGGAAGGGGGAACAGGGGGCAGGGGACGAGTCCCTCCCTGCAGGCGCAGGGGGCCGAGGGGCAGCAGGAGGCTGGCTGTGCCGGGGCCTGCGGTGCATCCTGGCTCGAGGGTCAACACGGCGAATCCAGCACCACTACACGTGCACCATGGAGACCCTCGGCTGAGCCCGTCCAATCCCGCCTGCATGGGTGGATCCTGGGGTCTCCACAGAGCCAGGGAGCTCCTGGGGTGCCAGCATCTCGGGCTCCCTCTGTCCCCTGGGACCCCCCTGCAGCTCCGGGCTCTCTGCATCCTGGTTTCCCTGAGTGCTCTGTTCTCATGCTGCACCTCGAGGCTGCCCTGAACCTCCAGGGTGCCTTTCCCCCCCCTGCTCCCCCTGCACCCCTGGGCTCCCCCTGCATCCCAGTTTATCTCCCGCTCTGGGGTCCCCATGATGCCCAGATTCTCCCTGCATCCCTGGGCTCCCCTGCAGCCCCAGTTTTACCCTCACAGATGGGTAGCTCAGCTGCATCCCAGTCCTATGCAGGGCCAGCCCGGCGGTGCAGGGCTCAGTGCGGGGGCACCTGGGGGACCCCGGGCTGGGCTCCGTGCAGGGCTCGGGGCCGAACCGCAGCCCCCCGGCCCCGACGAGTGACGGGGCCCGGCCGGGGGCGCTGGGGGCCGCGTGCAGCACCCCGGCCCCCCGGGCAGCGCCTGTTCATTTAGCAACGTCAGCGCCGCAGTTGGTTTGAATTAAGGCCCGGGCGCTGTCGCGGCCGCTGATAAGTGCGGGGGCGGGGGCCGGGGC